AAAATATGTACGTTTAAATGAAAATAAAATAAATATTTACTTGTATAAAGTATTTTAAAATAATAAAAAATTTATTGTTGTCAAATAATAAATAATTTATTCTTAAAACTTTATTGTTTATCATTTGTGCAACTAAGATATTTGTAATATACCTTTCAAGATTTCAACAACATCATTTTAGTTTATTTACACTTATAAACAAGATCTTTAAATCAAGAATTATGCAACTTAAATATTTTTCAACAAGATAAAGCTCTAGATTTGAAAGAAAAAATAAAGCATAAAAAAAAGAAGAAAAAACACTACAATAAGATGAGAAGAAGTAAGAACTTAGAAAAAAAAACATGTGTCAAAATCTTCATTCACCTCTTTTTTATAGTGAATTTTGAAAGTTAAAATGTTAAAAAATTAATTTTGGTGATAGTAATTCCTATTATTATTAACTTTTAATTAGTTATTAAAAATTAAGAATTAAAATTAAATATAATAGTCATAAATCTGAAATTTTTAGATGAAAAAATTGTTAAGATCTATAGAAAAAACTTTTGGAAGGGATTGCTAGCATAACAATAATTTAGAAGATGAACAAGAATTAAGGCTAAATTTTAATTGATAAAAATAATTTTTTATGATATAAAATATTATTTTATAATAAAATCATACTGATACATGCATGCATATGGGTTTTAACCCAAAACTTGCTTTGCTTGAAAGCTCTCTCCTCCAAAAACTTGTATGCTTTTTAACTCAATTTTAACTTTTTATTTTGTAAACATTAAGAAAATTTTATATTTTTTTTATGTGAATTGTTTTTTAAAAAAAGATCTTGAGTTTTAACAAAACATGTCAAGAAAGATTTTTTAAAATTAATTTTTCATTCATTCGTAATTTATTTAAATTATGTTAATCTTCTATGTTAAACATTAAATATTAAATTTCAATAACATTTTAATTCAAAAAATAATTGAACTTTACTTCTAATTTTGCCTCTAACAAATATCCCAACGTTATGGTTAGTGAAGTGGCATTGATGGAGAAGAATCTGCTAGAAAACCTGAAATTCTGTTAGCTGAAGCCATGAATGACATCTACAGCCATAGCACTTTCATAGACCAGAGATGCTGCTGCTACATAGGGGCCAATCCGTGGGATAGGCTCACTGAATTTTGCTTCATTCAGGTTCCCATCGATGCCACAGCCAACCTTTCCCATCTACATTTTTCACTTCAGTAGTTCTCCAAGTGATTACTTTGTCTTGATGCTTGGTCTGGGTTTGCTAGTAAATTGGTTGTCTGAGTTGCTTCCGATTTGCCCTTCTCTTATCTGTATTGTGCCGGACATTGTCTATGGTCAAATTAAAGGGTTATTTGACACGAAGCAGGATTACTGTTGAATGTGTCCCAACAAATTAAAGGGTTATTTGACACTAAGCAGGATTACTGTTGAATGTGTCCCAATCGTTTGGTTTGGAGCTGTCCAGGACTGGATTGTCTCATGACTCGTCGGGAGACGTAAGGGTTTTTGTCAATTTGGCTACTTGCAATGGTAGTCAAATAACCTCCACTGCTGAATTTTTTTTTTCTGGATCCAAGTGGCTCTGGAGTCGACATCTAGCACAATGCTGCTGCGGCATGCCTAGACTGGAAGGCCTAATGGTTGATATTGGAATATCAATTTCGTTAAATGGATACTAGCTCTCATCAAATCTCTGGGGGCCCTGGGATTTTGATTAGTACAACTTTAGCTTGAGTTTAAAAAATCCCGGCACATAGAATTGTTTTTTGTGCATGTCAATTTATTACAAGGTTGTAAGTAGCCTTTCTAGAACACTGGCCTTTTCACCTGATAGATAAAAAGCTTCTCGATTGGATGCTTTATGGTTCTGTACTGCCATAGAGATTCATTAGACTGTTACAGTTGAATAAGGGATGCCAACTGCATCCTCTGTTTCACAAAATCCACAAAAATTTACTTTCTGCTTCTAGATGGACTATCTGCATTACATGTTGTCTTCAGCTGTGAGTATTAACTTGTATAACATAAGACAAGAACAGGAAGCCAAGTATTTTCAACTATTACATGGCATAGTGGGAAGTTGCTTCTATTTTCCAGCTCCAGGCTAGTAAAGTTTATTCCATGGTTAGATACAAGTCGCTTGAAGTGGAGAAAACTGTTTCGCTCTTTGCTGAAGATGATGGAATGAAGGGCGAAGAGGTCTTCAAATCATTCAATGAACGCCACTCATCAATGCAGGCCATTCGATCTGGATCTAAAGTGGAAATAGGCTGCTGATCTAGAAGTTTCCGGATCTTTTCTGTTTTTCCAAGAATGTGAACTGCCCTGCGTACACAGTAGTCCCTCTCGATGACAGCCCTGCTCAAACAGTGGAATATGACACGCCGTAAGTTAGTGAGACAAGCACCCAGTATATCAGAGATCATGACAGTTAAAGCTTCAAATAATCTTTCGTCGACCAAGTCATTTCTACTTTCACAATTCTGCAGAAGAGTTTGGCTTATCCTATACATGGAATTAGCAGCCAGAACCTTGATGGGCCACTTTGAAGGTCTTTCCTTCGGACATTGATTCATAAATATCTTCTTACACTCCACAAACCTGGTCTTTGCAACATCAGATAGTTTCTCAAGTATTTCCTTTGTGCTTTCTGCTTGTACGGACAGTTTTCGAAGGTCCACATCTAGCCACTTGTTGTCGAGATCAACTCCAAGCCATACAACATTTGCTGCTTTCCTGATGTTAATCAATTCTCCCTTTGCGTCCAGGTTATCTTCTATGAGTCTGACATACATGAGGCCTTCATGTACACTGAGCATCAACTGTTTCATCAAAGCACTACTGACATTTGGAAGGGCAACTGCAATGGCTGTCAGAGTTACTACAGGAAGAGCCCAACAGTTTGGAGGTTCATCACAATCTAGAGAGAGAACTAGGTCACTGTCAAACTCTTTCACCCCCTTAAATCCTTCTGCAACGGTTGATTTTTCCAACAGTTCCATGAGATGCTTTGGCTGTTTCCTTTCCCCCCTTCGCAGCCAATGATCAGTCGTATCAAAGTTATTCTTCATCATCGACTCAACTAGTTCGTCTTCACCTTCAAGATGCAAAACAAAACGGCTGAGATCTGGTTTTGTACTGTATCGTGATTCTGATCCTGAGTCAGATGATATGCTGTTGTCGGGTTTCATTGTTCTTAACTTCTTGCAGAGATCGGAGAGTGATAACATCCAGATCATGGAGTAAACTGAAATGAACTGAATCACTTTGCTACCCAACACAATTCCAGTTTGCATTCCGAGACAGATGTCTACCAATTTGTTATTAACATAGTAGGCAAGTTTCCTGCAAAATCGGTCCTGGATTCGTATGGCTAGTGGGCACTCTTTCATCTCCACAAGCAACTGGATCCAGTACCTTTCTACTGTAAATATTCTTTTGCTGCTTTTCTTTCTTCTGGTTGGGCATCTGAATTTCAGAGCACTGAACCATCTGATTGCAGGGGCAATAGAACCAACTCCCACTGCAATGGTCTGTGTAATAAGAACTACGATGGTCGACCACTTATACTCAGATTCTCCGGTGCAGAATTTGAATGACCGGGGCATCAAGTAAGATCGCAGCATGGCCTCAGCTAAAGTCATGGCAACAAGGAGACAGAATGCACCTGAGGCAGAGCATGTAACTGAACGGCCCACCACGAACTGGGGGCTGCACGTATGAGCCATCATCCAGAATTTCATTAATTCTTCTTTAAGTTCCTTGCCTTCCCTTTTGCTGGTTTCGTTCGCGGTTTCTTTAATAGGCAGAC